AGAAAGAAGGTTTTTGTTTTTATCTCTATAATATAAAAATGAATCGCAAAATGTGTTAGTAAAATTACTCAATAACGCCTGGACAAATTTGGCCAATTCTTTTCTTAAATGTTCGTTGAAGTTCAAAGATAGTTTTTACGAGAGAAATTCGAATAATTGCCGGGAACTAATATTTTTTTTAAATTCACGCGGACGGAGTCGTGGGTGATAGCTAGTATGTCAACAAAAATGCTAGGCAATATATCAGGTATACATTCCTAAATTATTGCTAGAAAAATTACTGAAATTTATGGTTCTTTGATAAGTCAGTTAACATAACCCCACATATTACAATCTACGTATAAACGTAAGTTCAATTGCATTTAACGTATTAATTTATATTGATAATATTGTATCCTTTAGATCAAACAAAACTAGGTAACAGCCTATTCAAAATACGAGTCTAACGGTTTAGATTTAGAAGGTCCTTGCACTGTGGTCGGTTATCAGGCCATCTGACCGCGTGTCACACCGTATCGCCGCATCTGACAGCACGATCACCGTCAGAATGTCTGCCAACCGTATTCAGTGCAGAGTCTTTATGTTTCTACCGAAGGGAACCACTAAATGCGCTAAACCGGCTATAAACTGTCACAATTGTACGTTTATTGAGATTTAAATAAACGTAAACGCAATAAAACGTCAAGGTTATGGTCCCGCAAACGATGAAATTTTACAGAATTCTAGGTAAATGTAAGCATAAAATTACTTTGATAAAGCCGAAAGTAACCTCTCCATTGAATGACTATCCGTGGGTTTCTGGGAACAAAATTCCCGTTTTAAACATATTGTTATCTCTGTTTTGTCAAAGATAATGACAGGGATGGCGATATATTGTATACAGAGATATTGATTGCGGAAACCATCGGTGCGAGGTATAAAATTTAGTTCTTTTTTAAGCAAAATTTTTATATTTTTTGTCTTTTTCTATTCAAAAATTGCAACATCGTGGCAAAACTTATCAGATGTTTGATATCTGAGCGCAAATTTATTGTTATTAAACTTTGTTTTATGTGTTTTCTGCGTAGTTTTCCTTGCTATGCCTTAACTCCTAGAAATCATGTATATTCCGCCAGTGAACTTAAATACTTTTATAATATGAATACTTTGGATACATTTATATAATACTAAGAAACGATTAAATGTGATTGAAATCAAGTCGACGTAGTTTTATTGCCCTTCAAAGAAAGCTCCTGTGTAATGTATTGCTGTAAGTTTTCATACACGTGACACTTGTTTAAAAACATACCTTTTTCAATGGGGAATCGTTACGAAATTTACGGTTATATATAGTTTTTAAGTTTTACAAATTAATTTATGTACTTTTTGATTTCTTTTTCGTATCTATAACATAAAAATGAATCGGAAATCGAATGAATGTTCGTTGAAATTCAAAGATGGTTTTTACGACGAGAAAAATTCGAATAGTTGCTGGGAACTATTTTTTTTTTCATTCCAATCGGACGGAGTCGCGAGCGACAGCTAGTTATTAGAATAAAAAAGAGATCGGTTAGTGATTACATCTTGTTTATATTGTGACCTGTCAATTGATAATTAAATCAGCCTCTCTCGACATTTTGATAGTCAATTTTTGTTGACATTTTATGACACCTTTACCAATTATTCAGTTATTTATTTAAAGTCATTTCTTTTACAGTTATTGGTACAATACAATTGAACATTTTTTGAACAAAACAAGTAGTGAACAAAAATAGCGTGTACATTATAAAACAGTACAAAAGCTCTTGTGATTGAAGATTTAAAATCTGAGATAAAATCAGTCCGCTGTGTAGACAGCGAGGTGGGAGTGAATCAACCGGCCCTGCCGAGCTGCCGACCATACTAATGTAGTCCACCAAATGTTTCCGGCATATATACAAATCTTTAACATTACAAGACAGGACCTGTCAAACGCACGCCACCTCGCCAGTTATTTAACCGGAAAGCGGAATGTATTGAACTGACGTACTGAGGATGTAAAGGCTTTTGCAGAATATCAGTAAGCTTAGCAAAGGCCTTAGTTTCTTTTTGATTGTGTTTTAAGTGTTGTAATGTTTTAAACGGATTAAACGTCTTATTATTATTTAATAGAACTGCGACTGTTTGACTAGTCCGTTTCTCTATAATCTAAAATGTTTGTAGAAGACGTGACTGCCCGCAAATTTGACTGTTATGACCATTTAGTTAAGTTTATGACGTGGATACAGATGTTATCATGAGTAGAAAGACATCGTATCACATATTAGTAGTTCTGTACACCGTGCTACACATACAAATTTAACTTTTCAACTTCAATGTTATATCGGTCAAATCAGTAGCTACTGGTCTAAAGCTACGATGTATTTTTTTTAATTCTATAAATATTCAAATCATTATATAACAAGACTGTGTACTAACGAATTTAATTAATATGTAACTCTAATCAACATGCCTAATCAGATGGATTAATTACCTTAAAAGAACTCCGGGACGTGTAACCTTCAAAATATCAACTTTTTTTATAAACATGCCGACACACACAACTAATGTATTCTAGTATAATATTTGAATATTCAATACTTAATTAACCCAATACTATCAAGAAAACGACGAGCGATCAACTTTGCTTAATACTTTGTCCTTTAATTCTAACGGTTATCATTTTAAAACACCAAGTTAGAGATGTAAACGCAACGACTGCAGAAAAAGTTAGTAAGCAACACAAGTACTTGAAGCTTAATTTGATTGTTCTTTTATTTGAATATTATTTGCATTCGGTACACAATGTAACATTAAGCTGCCCTTCACTGTAAAACTAAAGACCCAGATACCTAGTAAAGTGTACTAGCTGCCGCCAACGAATCCGTCCGCGCGTAAGAAAAACTTAATTAGTAGCCTATATGTTCTTCTACATCTATGTTAAATTTCAGCGAGATCCATATTGTTATGTTATGGAGATATTGTGAAACAAACAACCATCCAAACATTCGCATTTATGATATTAGTAAGATTAGGTATAATTTAGACGGAATTAAATGTTTTACATAACAAATTGGCAATTGTCACGATGTGGATTTATTGAGGATCTTGATGACTGGCGCTCATTATCTTCACATATTCAAAACTTATTTTTATTGCACCGGTTTTTGATGTTGGATGTAATGCGACGCACGGAATCGCCCGTGCCTTGAATATAATGCAACGACGAGGTTTCAAGAACTACAGCCATGTGCGATATTACTGACTTTGCTGGTTCATTTCCATTTTACAGGCCTGGAGTTCATTAAAAATCTTACTAATATTATAAATGCGGAAGATTAGATGGATGGGTGGATGTCTGTTATATGTTATCACGGGAACGGCTCAACGGATCTTTATGAAACTTGGCACAGATGTAGAGTATGTCTTGAAGAACACATAGACTACTTACTTAGTTTTTTTAACTTCTATACTAAGATAAAATAAAGCAGATATTCGTGCAACTATCTACTCATTTAAAAATTTCCTTTATGTTGTGTTTACTCTTCGTTATTGAGCTAATGGGTCTCAGGCGAACTCTGACACAAAATAAGAAAGCTAGCTTAATGTTTAGATGAGAAGCCAATGAATCCTTTAAAGGGTAACGGATATAAGTTGCAAGGTTTACGTTTGTTCCTCTTTATCATATTCATTTGCTTCTAGTAATAAAATGACAGAACATCTCTATCGTATGGTTTCCACGAAGGCGCTAAATGTCGAGTAAAGAGAACATTTGTGTTATAAATCGACTTGAATGAAGCTCCTTGTCATTCCGCGACGACAACAGCGCATTGAGGAGACGGTATCGAGCACCTATTGAAAACATTTGCTTATTTATAGCATTGTGCCAGCTTACATTACAAATATAAGTTCCAAATTTAAAGAGAAGCGGTCAATAAGGTGCCTTTAGGTCGAATACCAAGACGAATCGTGCGAATGTATAACCGTTATTACATAAATTGCCCTTTCATGTTGAAGATTGGAAATTTTATCACTGGAATAAAAAATTAAATGTTTTTTTTTACATCAAAGGATCACAATTTCTAATTGCTAGAATCCTTACCATTTTACCCCCTACAACTAAGAAAAGGTATTAACACTATTTACATAAATATTAAAAACACATATCATGCTGCAAAAATATGTAGATGTTAAGAGACTATAAATTAGCAATTAATTTAATTGTGGTAATGAAGAAACTATGATTATTTCGGTAAAAAAAAACTATAATATTTTTAAAATTGTCCTGCGTATGTTTTTTCCAAATTTTTATTGCCTCGAAAAGTTTTTGGACAACATTAGTCGGCAATTCTTAAAATTTCGTATTAGAATGTTGTGATAAATGAAATTATGTATAGAATTGCTTAAACATGCAGTTACAATAACGACTACTTAGGGCCCTCCAACTAACGTATCGCTATCTAAGAGGCCGGTAAAGTATCTGCAGTTCCTCTGGTGTTGCTGGTATCCATGGGCGTCAATGGTCGCCTTGGAGGTCCAGCTACTCGTTGGCAACCTTTCTTAAAAAAACAATATTTGTATGGAGAGGTAATAGGTAATTGGGGTTGCTCTTGAGTTATTATGTTGCTATAGTTCTTCCTTCCCTAACTACACCCTGCATAACGTTAAATCAATCTGAATTTTATTTGGATGAAATGAAAGTATTAATTGAATTCATGGCGAATTAGTCCAATTAAGGAATTTCAACATGTACGCTTGTCTAAGTCTAGCATTGAACACGAGTCGTCGATCCCAGTAAAATCTCATAACAAGTTCCAAAATAAAAGAGCAACGGTCAGCCAATTATAGTTGATCATTCCCGACTCCTACTAGGATGTTCAATTTACTATAACGGTGGAGAACAGAAGCGCCGAAACGAAGCGATGTAAGATGCGCAGGCACACGCCGCCGACGCGCGTGCCCGGCATCGTAATTAGAGTTCGCAGTCTGGACTATATAACGCGTCGGCCACGCTCCATCACCACAACCACGATAGCTGTGAACAACACAACTCCTTCGTCAATCGGGATAGTACCACAATCGACATGCAATCCGCAGCGATCGTCCTCCTGGCCTGCGCCCTCTGGGGAGCCCACGGCTTCCCCTATCACTACTATGGAACCAACATGGATACTTGTAAGTGAATCTATTTTGGACACAACTTTGGGAGTCTCTCAGTCTACACTAATATATTATTTAATATTCTGTCCTGTGCTTTATTACCGGTTATTCGGTCTAAATTAAAAATTTAGTGTATTGTTCTCCAATTTATTACAAAATTAAGAGGCTGTCCCTAAAGGATTCTCATTTACTTATTAATTTCTCCAAAATATTTCAAAAACATGATTTTTTCAGTATCGTATGGCGCGGGCGACAGCAGCCACGGCGGCATGGTGTTGAGCCGCTTCTACAACCCGTACTACAGCCAGCGCACAGCGACGGGTGGTGGCATGGCCGCCTTTATGTTCAAGCCAGAGGAGCAGGGCCAGCAACCCGCCCAGCAGACCAGCCAGTACTATCTGCCCGACCGCCGCCGCCAGACCACCCCAGAGGCCTACGCGCCGCCGCAGCAAAACGAGGTCTACTATCCCCAGCCCCCTGAAAAACCTTTCGCCACTGAGCCCACCGAGCTCGCCGACCCTCTCCCAACCGAGAAGGTCGAGGTCCCCACGACCGTCAAAGCCATCCCCATCCCGGAGCTGACCGAGCCTGAAATTGAAGAAGTAGAGGAACCCAAGGAGACCAAGGAGCTCGCCCCGGCCTCCAAAAAAAGGGTAACCAAGAAGAAGCAGGTCAAGAGGCCAGTCGAGGACGAGGAAGAGGAGGATGAGTACCCGGCTCGCATGCCTAACGGAGCCTACTTCCCGATGTTCTTCGGATGGGGCGGCGGCCGCGCGTCTGGCGGCGCGCCCAACGGAGCCACCGCCATCGCCAACGCATTCAGCACGGGCCGCGGTGGAGTCGCCACCAGCCACGCCACCGCCTACGGACCCCCGAGACCCGAGCCCAAGCTCCAATAGGCGCTGACGATAGTTGACTCGATCTATAATTAAATCATCTCAAGCGCGTATCCCGCACCCCGGACCATCATCCGCTGCAGAATCATACGTGACCAGTGACAGTTTATGTGTGAGTTTGGTTGTGATGTACGCGAGTTGAGAAATCGATCATAAGGGACGCCGCAATACTCATCTAGATATAATTAATAGAGATTTTATTATCGTTTAATGATTCTTGTTTGTATGTATATTGTCATAAAATTGAATATATGATTTAATGTAATTATTTTAGTATCGAAACGATACCATATGGTGTAAGTTGCCAGTAATATCTTGAAATATATCATTGTTCAAAATATCAAAATCTTTTTTATTTCTTTTTTTCAGTTTAACTCTTATTACAGCAGCCGGAAACATTCTTTAAAACCATTTACTCAGTCCATCAAATAAGATTTTCAAGGTGCAAATTACACAACATTAAACCAACCGCATACATAGTTAATTACCAAAGACAAACGACCAGCTAAAGAGACACTTCTTAGGTATTACAGGAACACACATCTTAGGAATGATAATACTTTAAAGGTGAATATTTTGAAAACTTCCAGTTTTTCTATGATAGCCTTAAGCGGCCATGTTTGTACTTACGCATATAAATAAGATTACTCATATATTATAGTCAACTCAGTCATGGTTTTATTTAAAAAGCACGCGATTAATAATAAAAAAGGAATATTTCCCGTTTAAAGAATTATATAAACTTTAAAGTAAAAATATTACTCGTACCTTGACTACTCATTAAACTTCTAGCCGATTGCAATAGGGGTTCAATAATCTACGGCCCTAAAATAGGGTTTCTAAATAAGACGTTTTGTAGGTTGGTATTGTCTCTATAATGTTTTTCGTCATTATATTTAGCTACATATATCAGAAGAGGTATTTCTACAAAATGTAAAAAGATTCGAAGAACGAATAGTTCGCAACCAAAACGAAAAAAGTTAAATGTTTTCAATATTTTGTATACAAAATATACAATTTCCAGTATGTTCTATATTTTGCACTAAATGAAAGTAAAAAAATAAAAGTTTTGCTATCTCTTATAACTTCATTATTGAACATATAAATTAATTTATTTATTGCTAAGCGTTAACATAACATTTGACTAGAGAAAAGTAACAGGCATTTTAAAGTATAATAAATCATTTCAGATGAAATTGATTCTAAAAAAATACTTTGTTTCTGTCTGACTGTATAAAACAAACAGAAAGCAAAATCATTTAAACATAAATTAAGTAGTGACAATTGTAAAAACGGCTTTTACAAAGTGAAATTAATAAAAGATAAGTAAAAAATAATAAGTTAAATTTGTTAACTTGTAAATAGAGCTCAAAAGTCAATAAATGATTCCACGTTTTCCAAGGCAATACATCGTTCAATTTTATTATTTTTGCAAGAAAAATGAAAATATAGTTAGCTAATAAAAATTAAACATACAAAATTGTGTTGTCTAAATCTGATTTCATAATCTGACTATATCTATAAATACTGCCATCTCGTGGCAAAATCATAAAACACTACAATTTTTCGATACTTGTAACAACTAGTGCCATCTGTTGGAAAAACCATAAAATGTAAAATAAAACAATTTGAAGCATGCAAAGTGCCTTAAAACAAAAATAGATGGCATGATTAGAAATTAAGAACAATGTTTCTACACTTTTCCTATTCCTCTTACAACGGTTTTTTTACCAAATAACTAACATTGATTTTCCGGACAGTCACGTAAATAAGTGTATATTTAATTCAAATGGAAACGTATTTAAATTTAAAAAAAATGCATTAAAAATCAAATGATTTAACATAAAAAAAAATTATAAAAAAGTTTTTACAACTTAAGACTTTATAACCATTACTTACCTTAATTAAAACTACCGAGATAATAATCAACAAAAGACGGACATGATAATGGAAACTAATTAAGTAATTTTAAGAACAAAGTAATTTAATAGCAATTTTGTTTTTGAAATGTGATTTAGTTTTTGGTCATCAGTCATCTCTAAGTGGCATTCAAGGTTCTAATCAAGGAGAAGCTAAATTATTTGTTTTATTTTAATTTTAGTTTACTAATCGTACTAATGTTATTAATACGAATGTCTAGATCGATGGATGGATGTTTGTTTGAAGGTAACACAAAGACGGGTGAAAGGATCTCGATGAAATTTGCCATAGAGGTAATGCATAATCTGGAAGAACACATAGGGTACTTTTTTTTAATACCGCGCAGACTGAGACGCGGGCGACGGCTAGTATTATAAAAGCAAAGGTTTATTATATATAATAGAAGGAGGCATGTTTGTTTTTACGTATCTTCAAGAGGTTTAACAAATCTCGATGAAATTTGGCACAGATGTAGAATATTCTGCAAGAATGCATAAGCTACTTAGTAAGTTTTTTTTTAAATTCCGGGAGTACGTAGTCGTGATCAAAAAATTGTAATAATCATAGTCAGACAAAGCAAAAATATTTGGTTCCATACTTTAATAATTATAACCTTGAAAGTTTTTTGTTATTTTTGTATAATATAAAAGTACAATAGACATTAGTAATTGGAATGGACCAAAGCTTGTAGTAGGTGGTTTATTTCATTAGAAGAAGAAAAAAAACAATTTGTGTATTGTGAATCTCAGATCCAAGGTCAAAGTCGCCGCCCAGTTTGATTGAGATTGTATCCGCTTATTATAAATACAATAAAAATTATTATCATTTATTTATTAATAATAATAAGAAGCCTCGAATTAATAGTAATCTTAATAACATGATAATTATAGACATCTAATAAAATTAATATTTCTTAAAATTGTGGTCTCACAAAATATAATAAGTTTTAATTTTAATATTTTTATTTAATTTATTGTATTTAATTGTAGTAAATTGTGATAATGAAGTCTTAACTTAGTTATAATTTTACATGAAATTTCAAAACTTTGACCATAGAGTAGATAAACCAAATTAAGTGACTACTAATAAGTAGTATTCCTGGATGAGAGATATTTCTCGAATCACGGAATCTATTCTTTAATCATTTGCTATAAAAGGAACAAATAATACTTTGTTTCTTTATTAACAACTTAAGCGATTACAGTCTTTACAACAAAGACTTATTTACAAGCGTTGATATAAATTGTAGCAAATTAAACGTAATAATTTCATAATCACATTACATTTTTAGTAAATAATTGAACCATGCCTTGCTGAATAAAAATGCAAAGTTCTCGTTGGTTTCTGAGACAAAAATCTCTGTATAAAACATATCGTCATCCTTGTCATTGTCCTTAAAAAAGGACAGACGGACGGACAACAAAGTGATCCCATAAGGGTTCCGTTTTTTTCCCTATGAGTTACGGAACCCTAAAAAATAGCACGAAATGTTTCTATTTGTTTGACTGCTAAAATACCTGTTACAAAACATATTCAATTGTACCGGTTATACTTAGGAGAAGTTCGTTTTGTACTTTAGAAGAAAAAGAACTAAAAAAAGAATGACAAATTTTAATATGTTTTTAAGATATTTAATTAAACATTATATTGTAATTACAGATAATATCAGATAAATAACTCGAGCTTTTTAATCTGTCACAATTTATTAGCATTTTCTATTTTTATTTGCGCAGGTCGTAGGTACGCAAAGTTCAATCAGTTCTAGGAACATATCGCTTCGTGGCCGAATCAGCCTTGTCATTTGATTTTGACCTTGTAACATTTGTTGTTAACGTCACGCTGCACCCATCCTCTATTGTACTTATAAATAAATATAAATTTAATAAATCTTTATATATATAATTCTTCTGTGAGTGTGTATGTCACTGAACTTCTCTCAAACGACTGTACCGATTTTAATGAAATTTTTTGTGTGTGTTCAAGGGGATCTGGGAATGGTTTAGATTCACAATTTTCATCAAATATTAACTTCATATTAATTTATTCAAAATAAAGACGTGTAGACGGGACAACGTCTGTCGGGTCCGCTAGTGTACTTATAATATACATAATACACGTACATGCCAGTCACTTAAACCAATTGACGCAGTTTGTGATATTCTATTTCAATAATAATAAACTATTATTGCATGTAAAATATATTTTTTCAACCTTTCAGTATGGTTTATGGTCACACTATATGTACAGTCACCGACATTCGCGGTATTTTAGTTACATATAGGTTACCTTGCACCTCACACCTCAACTCCGCCTTTTCTTACTTATTAATAAAAAGCAACTGTAGACAATCTTTACATATAACTTTTGCCTATTATTAGTATTTAACCATTTCTTTCGTTTCAAAGCGTACTAAACGTTCACGCAATCATTGCATTAGAAATGGAAAACCGCCAGCATACTCCACTGTACATTATCGTCGAGATTTCATTGTAATAAGATTTACTCATAGTCATGCCTCGGGAACGGCAACCAGTTTACATTTGAAACAGGCTCTGCAATAAATTCTCTATATTTATGCATTATCAGGAGATCGAGGAGGTTTTACTATACATAGTGATAAAATCTAGGATGCAAAATTTTTTTACGACTTGAAATAAAAAATCTTGTTACATGTTACTCATCGTTAAAGCTTACAGTGGTTACTTACTTAAACATAAAATTATAATATTACAAAAAAATATAAAAAATACATATTTGTTAATATTTAATTGAGATATTTGACAAAAGCGGTGGTATGCGACTCCGCCCGCGCGGGATTAAAAAAAAAACTAAATAGTCCAGACTTTGTTTTCTATATTTAGGCCAAATTCCATCGAGATCTGTTCAGTCGTTCTGGAGATACCTTCAAACAAACAACCATACATCCAAACATTCGCATTTATAATATTAGTAACATCTAAGTAAGCTTTTTGTCGAAACATGAATAATATCAAAAATACATAAATCTACGTAAGCATGGCATTTACAAATATTACATTTCATATATAAAAAAAATATGTAAAAAATATATTATATTATATTAAAAATAGAGCACCACCGGCTGCGGAGTCCCATGACTCAAACAACCAGTGGTCAGGGCTGCAGAGACAGGAACCTTCTCACGATGCGTGCGATTTCTAGGATAACTGCTTAACTGGATACCTTTAGTAATTTTATTATTATAACTATCGATCGAAGTGCAGTTAAGTTCAAATCGCTAAGACATTTACAGATTGCAGTAGATATCCTTGACTGGATTGTTATCAGTGCGTTGATGTACGTAATTTATCATCCGCCATTACAG